CCCCAAAACCCCAAAACCCCAAAACCCCTAAATTCGTTTATTATACTTTTGACAGAAAATGATGATTTTATAACAATAATTAGCCAATTTAGTTATAATTTTTTATATTTCTAATAATTTTTCGTAAGTGAAAATCTGATGGAGGAGCATTTTACAAAACTAGATTTTAAAAATGAAGAATTGGCTACTAGATAAAGAAGTGAACCTATCTTCGACATCTAGAAACAGTTCAAAACTATCGGAGAGTACACCATTGATTTCAGCCAGTTTCTAGGCAAAGGTAAATATGGAGAAGTATACAATGCACATAAATCTAAGGAATATAAAGATGACAAGAGATATGCTTGTAAGATAATAAAAGCTAATCTTGTGGAGGAATAATAAAACATACTTAATGAAAAATTGCAATAGGGAAACAATTTTGATGAACAAGAATTTGTGAAAAACTATCTAAGCAAGTAAATTCAACAGGAAATCGACTCGCTCATGCTGGTAAAGTCTCATTATACAATATAGCTTATAAAGGCATACAAGGCCAAATCAGGGCATTATTTGATTACTGAACTGTGCAATGGTGGGAGTCTATAAAATTTGCTAAAACTTAGAGGTAGATTTTAAGAAGAACAAGCCAGAATGATATTTAAGCAAATTATTAACGGCATTTTTGACATGCACTCTATGGACATAATCCACAGAGATCTAAAGCTTGCCAACATATTACTTAATTTTCCAGAAAATAACATAAAAACTCTTAGTAAATAATAGAAGCAAGAATTTTTAAGAGATTTTGACATGGAAAAAGTAAAACTTGAAGTAAAAATTTCAGATTTCGGATTTTCAAAGACAATTACTGTTCAGACAAAGAAGAAGAAACATACAATATGCGGAACTCCAGCTTATATGGCTCCAGATCTGTAAATAGGCAACAACAGGTAATACTCTAATAAAATAGATATATGGGCACTTGGCATTATTTTTTATGAACTCTTAGTTGGTGTGAACCCTTTTTAGGGAAACAATTCTAATGGATTTAAAAAGAAGTTAAAATAAGGAGTCTTCATAATTCCAGATGATGTTCAAATATCTGCTAAAGCTATTTCTTTAATAAGTAGATGCTTGCAATATGAAGAGGATTAAAGAATTTCTATAAAAGAGTTTATTAAAGACGAATATTTTGATAATCAATATTAGCTGTCAAGAGATTTTGATTTTATGCAATATTTGCCTAAGCAACTGTGAATTACATCTGATCTAATCAAGTCTAATTAAGTGATAATGAAGCACATCTTGATGAATGTAAAGATTAATGAGATTTAGCTAGACTACGATAAGTAGTTCGATGAGTTTGAATTATCAGCACTTAGATACAATACAAAGGCTTTTGAAACTATTTAAATGAAAAATAGAAAATCTATTGACATTAAAAAATATTTTGATTAAAAAATTGAACTAGCTTAAGAGCAATATCATGCAATGAAAGAAGAATAAAAAGATAAAATCTTGATGAGTCAGAAAAAAGAAAAAGTAGAACGTCCCTTAGAGATTCTTATCAAAGATGTACGAATAGTAAATAACTATTTTGATATTAAAAAGTGAGGCTAGTCATTTTACTATTACTTGAACTACTAAATCACAATAAATGATATTTTAAAATTAATCTTATTTATTTTAACAGTAATATTTAGTTTTTATTAAGCAATAAAGATAGATGGGGTTTTGGGGTTTTGGGG